ATCCAGTGCCAAAATGACCAGTAGGTAACACTTTTAAAGGCCAAAACGTAGATGCACATCATAGTCGGGAAGGAACAAAGCTCACCACTCTCATCAGACTCCTGGTAAAAGGAAAGAAAAAACCATGCCCAGCTCAGCTACCCGTGAGATCCATAGTGAGGCACTGCACCTTGGTCTGCCCATTTACTGCGATAGGAGCAGAACTCCTCCAAGAGCTGCGTGGTCACAAAGGACTTTGCAGTACTCTGGCAGTATGCAAGTTTATTTAAGTTTTCATTAAGGTGATGACATTTTTAACCCTTGCTGTTTCTAGCTAGTAACTGTAAGGATTAAAATACTCAACTTGGTCCAGCAGCACAGCTTTCTACTAACACGCACGTTCCCTATTTAGCCAGACAAGTGCTACCACTGAGGTGGTATCTGAGATTCCTTAAAAGTAGCTTCAAGAGTGCAAGGAGAAACCTCATGCTATCCAGGTTGGCATTTTGCATTCCCCGTGAATAATTTCATACTATTTGAGTGAAACAGTGAAAGGATCAGGTGTCATAATTTAAAGCAAGCATACAGCACTGCACCCGGCACCTCAATTCCCAGCTGTTTTTGCACTCTATTTTGCCCTACCAGCAGAACAAAGCCCTCCCTCCGTCCAACGATCCCAGCACAATCCTCCCCATGGTACTACAGGCAATAAAATGCTTAGAAGAGTTATAGAAGTGAAAGAGACTGTTGGTGAAGTTCATCCAGCAATACCTCGTGGCTGGCAGCCTGGAACTGGAGGTTGAGGTGGAAGAAGGCACCGAATCTCAGCAGCTGGGGCCCATGAGTCAGCTCCATGGAGCTGCGCTCCCCCGCCTTCCCGAAACAAACAGCACACGGCAGGGCAAAGGTCCAGCACAAAGCTGAAGGGCAAAGGTATGTGGGGGAGGAATAACACCACCCTGCACATTTGGGGAGCAGCAGTTCCAGTTATCCTCACGCTCGCCAGTAAAACAGGAAGCGTTACTCAAACATGAGTTGTGGGATCGGAACAGCATTTCAGAGAGGAAACTTGGGGTGGTGGGGAGAGGACTGTGCTGCGATAGCAGCTCTGTTGCAACCAACAGCCAAAAGAGCTCCACAATTACATGCCAAGACAAAGCAAGAATTGCCCAACGCTTTGGAAATAGGTGTGTGCAGTTCAGTTCTACCACGCTAGATACCCCAGCAGGCAGATGTGTGCATCTATTCTAAATACAAAGAAATGCCAAAGGTAAAACGAGCTTTCCATACAGCTTATCTCCTGTACTGGATGCTGGCTTCAAGGAAAGCCCTTTGGGGAGTTAGTCATTGAAGGGTGAGAAGCTCATGAATCCATCCTTCCCTGCCTTCTCCTCAGCACCAGTAGCCAGCCCAGCCTGTGTGCTGCCATGTCTGAACAATAGGCAGCCAACCTCCAGTGCTTGCTGCTAGGAACTAAGGTGTGCCTTCTGGAAAGTGCTGCTTATCCTCCCAGTGCATCTGCCAAATGGCAAGCAAGAAACTCTGCTGAGAAACTAAAGCACCTCCTGCATCTCCACTAAGACATACTGAGTTTGCAACCAGGAGAGATGGCATAAAAGTTAGTGCTTAGCAATGGCATTGCCAGTCATTAAAATTTGCATGTTCTTATTTCCAAGATGTAAATGGCTTTAAAAATTAAGAAGTGCCAAGAGCCTTGATGCAACATTTCTTGAAATAAATCCAGCAGGTTTTCAAAACGGGGTGCTGTTAACACCTGTCCGCACCAACGCTTGCATCACTGCTAGCACTGGTGCAGGGCACAACAGAGGAGTACAAAATGTTCCAGAAGGTCGAGTTGTCTTAACCGAAGCCACATTTCTTTATTGAACAATTAGGAGAAAATATTTCAAATTTGGTTTACAGCCAGAAGCGCAAAGCTGTTTTTGTCAGAAAAATGTTTCCTTCTCTTCTGCACATACATTCCCTGCAATTGTGTCTTTGCAAGTCAGGCTGCTGGCTGCATTTATTTACATGATAAGAAGAGACCATACAGCAAGTTGCATGTAACGAGGGACTGTCACACAGACCTTGCTATTTGATGAGAGAGCAAAAATGAGGTGTCATTACCAGCCTTGTCAGCGTCCCTCATAAGCAGTAAGTACTAACACAACCCTTGCCACATTTGACATGCTTATGTGTCTTTTCACAGGTTAAAGGACCTCCCCCTCCTTCCCACTTGCACCCCCAACTTTGAAATGCACACAAACAGAAATACAGTGCACATTGTGACAAGCACCACGACAGATTGCTGGGTGCATCTCTCCACCAGTGCCTGGTGCTCTGCTTACAGCACCAGCAGCACTGCTGTTGTCTAACTCGACCTAATGGTTTCTACCCTTAATGCCACGCAGTTATGCTTTTGGGAGGAGGGGTTAAGCACCAAGGAGAGGCTTTGCTTCAGCGTGCCTTCTTGGAAAAGCAGCAACATTTACTCAAACTTCCCAATACTGACCTCGCTCCCGACCTTCAGAGTGCCCCAATAACATCTGCTTCTGAAAACAAACCCTAATTCCCCCCAAACCAGACCCTGTTATTTCGAATCTGCATCAGGCCTCCACGCATTCATCCTTCCCAGGTGATGTTTAGCTGCAGGAAGTAAAGCTCAAAATGAGCAGAGAGGGATTTGCCAAGCTCTTCCACATCCGTAGTCAGACACGGACGGTGAAAACTCACAGAGATCTTGAGTACAGCTCTGTTTTTCTCTGAGCTTGAGCTCAATTCCTTTACTTTAGTAAGCACTAATTCCAGCACAGATCATTACAGAACGGGTGAACTCCTTAAGGAGCATGTCTTGTCCATTAAATCTGCTCTTCAGGCCTATAATTAATACAATCATTACAAAAAATTAGGGCTTTGAAAGCCTGTAAAACAAGTCATAGAGGGATGCCCGTATCTTTAGAGAGCTGTCCTGATGTTCAATAGTTCCTAGCCTTCCTCGCTACCTCCTCAATAGCAGGATCAGTGCGGGAAACGTTCAGTAAATCAGCACACAAACACCAGGCTGGGAGCACAGCTCAATTGCCAACCACAGTTCCTATGCTAAAAACCTAAAAACATTCGGTAATGCCTTTCCAGAGTTTACGTGTGCTCTATGTGTTTCAAGTGTACAGAGAAGCCACTTTTTTTTTTTTACGGTCTCCTGGAGGTCACTGCAACACCACAGCTCATCTTCTGCACTACAGCACAACTTTTGCACATTCTCACACTCCAGATGTCTTTTCAGAAACATCTGCTGGAAGAAATACTCCTTCCAAATCAGCACAGATCTGGCAGGAGCCTGTGAAGTCTACGAGAAGGCACTCAGGCAAAGGGCCGCTATGCAAGGCCAGCCACCAGCCTGCCTCTCGTGGGAGTTCGCCAGCCGTGCTTGTTTTACACGTTTTCTCTTCTGCTAACGAACCAGGCAGCAAAAGAAACAATGCCCCAAGTGCAAGGGAGCCAAGTGGCAGCGTCTGGGGCACTGCAAAACCAATTCCATTATTTCAACTCCTCCAGGAATACTGGGAGAGCTGGGCCAGGCCCAACAACGTGCTGAGTGTTGCATGTTTATTGCCCACTGTTATGCTATTCCCTCAAAATCATATCAGGCATTGCAGAGTCCCCTCCTCTGCCACATGGTGCCTGCTCAGGCTCCTGAGCCCCCACTTTAGTGTGTTTTAGATGTGCTGCAAGGCCTCTAACTGGAACCCTGGGGAAACGTCTCCTATTTTTGCACCTTTTGCTTGATTCCTAGGGAGTGTTGCCTAAGGAGGCAGCATAACAGAGCCCAGCTCTCACACAAAGGAGCACTGTGAGCAGCTGGATGTCACGCTGCATGCAAGAGGAAAACGCAGACAGCAGCACAGTCCTGGATTTTGTTGTGCATTGCACACACAATGACAAACCACCAAACCATCTGGGCACAGACTTCTACCTGGCACACTGACCTTCTCCTCTACACTACCAGTAAGACAACATCTTTCCAGGTGGAAATTGCAGAGGTGTCCATCTTTCAAAGATCAATAATACCTCCGGTGAATCATCCCACCTAGCCTGCAACATTTCTTGCAAAACATAGCACAGTAGCAAGAAACCTGATGTCATACCTGGCAGCGTGACTGCGGAGCTTGCAGAGATAAAAATATTAGGAATTAACACGGAATTAAACTTCAGCTGAGCAGCTCCCAAGCACAGAATCATAGAGGCTGGAAAAGGCCTCCGAGGTCATCTAGTCCATCTGTACTCGTACCACCAATGCTCCCCGCTAAGCCCATCCCTCAGCACCACATCCACATTTCTCGAGCACCTCCAGGGCCGGGGATTCCAACACCTCCCCGGGCAGCCCATTCCAGAGCCTCACCGCCCTTCCTGAGAAGAAGCTGATCCTAATACCACCGCACCTCCTACCAAATAAACAAGCAAAACGACAAAAAGAAAGAAACGCGAAGAGGCGAAGAAGCGGCGCTCAGCCATTTCGGCTCAGCCTTACGACGGGCGCCGGGGCCTCCGGCAGAGCACGCACGGCCCCGGGAACCCGCAGGGCCCGCACAGCGCGCACGAGGCCTCCGCACGGCACCCCAGGGCCTCCCTTCCTCCCTCATCGGGCCGAACTCGGAGCCGCGCACGTGGGCCGGCGCAGGAGGAGGCCGAGCTGCGTGGGAAATCACATGCCGGGCCGGGGGAAGCCACCACGTTGCCTGCGCGGCGGCGGCGGAATGCTGGGAAGGGGAGGCCTCCTCCCGCCCGCCCGGCCCAACGAGCGCGGCCCGCACCGCGCCCTCCGCCCGCCTCGGGCCTCCCCCCGCCGCATGGCCCCGGCCCGGCCGCTCCCCTCCCCCTCTCCCCGCTCGCGGCCCGGCCGGTTTCCCCCCTCCCCCCCCGCCGCGCTCCCTCAGGCCGCACGCCGTGCCGCATGGCGCTGCCGGTCGGGGCGCGGTCGCCGCCGCCGCACCCCCGTGTCCCTCCTCGCCCCCCGCACCCACCTGGAGGCGACTGCCCGTTGACCGCCAGCGCGGCCGCGTTCTTCGTCCAGGGGTTCACCTTGGGCGGCGGAGCCTCGATGAACTCCCTTCTCCCCGCTCCGCCGCCGCCCGCCTCGCCGCCCTCCTCCGCCTCGCCGCCCGCCCGCAGCAGGCTCTCCTTCTCCTGGTTGTTGCTCTCCTCTTTCTGCTGCTTGGCGCTGGGCGGCCGCTGAGCCGCGGGGCCGCCGTCGGGGCCCATGGGCGCTTCGCCCTTCTCCCGGCCGCCGTCCTGCGGCGGTTTCAGCACCAGGGCGCGCTCCTCGGCGGGCAGCAGCGGGGCGCCGGGCAGCAGCGCCTCCACCTGCGTCGCCATCTGCGCGCCCCCGCCCCGCACGGGGGGAAGCGCCCCCTCAGCGCACTCACACGCGCACGCGGCGTTTCCCCCCCCGCCCCCCCCCCACACGCGCAGCGGCCGCCGCCGCAGCAATATGGAGACGCGCGGGGACCACGCGACTAGCCGCGGGGGCGCGCGCCGCGCAGCGCCGCCCCGGCCGCGCGCGCGCGCACACACCCGGCCTAAGGGGAGGGGAAGAGGGGAAAGGAGGGGCGGGGCGCGCCCCCGGCCGGCCGGCGGCGCGCACGTGCCTGATGCAACGCCCGGCCGCGAGTGGGGGCGCTTAAAGGGGCCGCGGGGGCTGCTGAGGCGGCGCGTGGAGGGGATGGGGGGTGGGACCGCTGCGATGTGCTCCTCGCAGCCCCCGGCCGGGTGGCTGGTAGTGCAGGAAGGGAAGCTCCAGAGGAAGGTTGGGCAGCGTGTAGGGGTGAGAGTGCAACGGGAGGGGTGTTGTGAGGCGCTGGTCGTTGCCCGGCTGTAGGAGCGTCGCTGCTGAACTGATCCTGGGGGCTGTGATGGCAGGAGGCTTCGCAGTTCTTCGCCATCGGGTGGCCGGGCGTTAGAATGGTGTCTGTAGGGCAGTGGCTGTGGAACCGAGGTTGCCAGAGTTCAGGAAGCATCTGGACAACGCTCTCAGTCATACGGTCTGATTTTTGGGTGGTTCTGTATGGTACCCAGTGATCCAGAGTCCCTTCCAGCTCAGGGTGATCCTGATTCTAACTGAACTGAGACAAGGGACACCCGTGGTTCCATAGCAGATTCTCTTCTCCATCAGGGGGACACAAAATCAGGTGGCTGATGATCACAGGCTGTGTCTATGGCACAGCACGGAGCTGTGTTAGTGAGGGTAAGGGGGACGGTAAGGGAAAAGCTCTGCAGCAGAAGGTGGTGGGCATGGAACGGGCTGCCCAGGGCAGCTGGCACAGCTCTGAGCTGCCGGAGCTCAAGGAGCCTTGGCTCTCAGATGTAGGGATCTGAATTGGATGGTGCTGTGTGGAGCCCGGAGTTGGACTCAGTGATTCCTGTGGGTCCCTTCCAACTCGGGATGCTCAGTGACTTTGGTGAAGGTTAAAGGCAGCAGGGCTGGGAGGATGGCTCACGGCCCAGAAGGGCAAATAAGGAGCCATCAGAAGGCTGATTAGTGACCGCAACCAGGAGAGGTGGCTTGGTGGCTGTCATAGGGTGACTACACCACGACGTCAAAAAAACATGAAAAAGGCAAGTGTGAACCTCAAATGCATCAGAAGCTCTTTATCCCATTAGTGAAGGCACTGATGAGCCTTCCTGCAGAGCAGTGTGTGTAATTGTGGTTATCCACATTCAAGGATGATGAAATGGTGTAAGGACTACAAAGATGATTGGAGAATGCAGTGTGTTTCATGGAAAGAGATTAAAGGAATAGCTTTTGTAGCCCGGCAAAACCTGCACACTTTCATTTGAGGAGGTTAAAATACTTGATTAACCCCTAGCTAATGGAATGTCGCTTGGTCATGACTGTCTCTAATGCCCTCAGTCCTTGTCCCCTAAAGCAGCAGGCCAGCCAGAGTCCAAATCCTGTGTATAGTTATGCACAACTTATACATATATGAAAAGCAATGCATAATGCTAAACCTGCACTATTGTTATCGTTTAACAAGACTTTTCTGATTCACAGTGTCTCTTTATAAATTAAACCAACATTGATAACAAGCTTCACACTGGCCTTTTCCCTTCAGTGAGCACACTGCCTCATTTGTACCCAGAAATGTTCACCTAAAAAACCCAGTGTTTAATATGGAGAGACCTATGCAGACCCTGCAGAAACACTAACAAAGTGACAAGGCATTGAAAACATAGCTCCCAGATAATGCATGGAGAAGAATGGAAAGCTGATTGCACAGCTAAACAGTCAGAAGGGAAGGAGAGGCAGACATACTTTAGCATCTTGTTCAGAAGGGTGACAGAGTCAGAGGTCTGACTGGCCCCTAGACAGAGACTTAGGTTATCAGGGATTCTCCACTGAGGCTATTTTGGCCCCATATGTCCCTTGATACCTAGCCCAAGATATGTGTACTTATTGCCTAGTTCTTACTACAGCCAGTGGAGTTCATGTTTCCAGCCTTGAAAGCAGAATGAAGCCCAAAGTAACTTCCATTCCCATCCAGGCTTTAGAAAATGTTTTTCTCCCTCGGGATCCTCTTGGCTACCCCTGAAGCAGTGAGCACATTCATGTGATGCAGTGTCACTGTGTGCCACAGCCCGGGGATCAGCAGTGTGTGCCATGTGTCCCAGAAACTTTTAAGAATCTGCCCAGTACAATTACGAAAGGAAATGTGTATGATTTGGTTATGACACTAGAAGAGATAGCACTGGCCTTGCTGCCTGGCTGAATATCCAGAGCAGATGCTCTCCTATCTGAGTTGCAACAACAAAACAGTATCCTGTACTGTCAGCCCAGTCCCATATTTCCAAGGGGGTCTCTATGCGCTCATAAGCACACTTCGGGGATTACACATCCCATGTTGATTTCCCTCCAGCAGGGCTCTGTGAGGCTCTGGGATACGCAGTGCCAGCCTCAGCTGGGTGGCAGATGCCAGCCTGGGCTGCCCAGCTCTGCCACGTGAGCAGGAAGAGCCCACGATGGGTGAGAGCCAAAGTGGCTGCAGGGCGGAGCGAGCTGGGTGAGGCTCTCGCTCCATGCTCACTCTGTGGGCAGCCAGACTGAACCGTGTCATAGTTTTAAATGCTAAAAAAAATAAATTAATGGCCAAGGAGGAAGAAAGAGAATTGTTCGCGCAAGCAGTCGAGCTTATGCACGGCCTTTATGCGTCAGCCAAGAGGACAAATTGCCTCTCTGCCCTTGGCTGGCTACCACGCAAATATGGATGCTCTCTGTGAAGGGAAACTCTGCAGGTGAGCTGTGCTTGGTGCATGCAGGCTCGAGTGTAAGCACATGGGCAGTGTCTGGCAGCCTCCACGCACCACAGTGTTCCTGGTGTCCTCACCTCTGCCAGCCTATCTCCCCCAGTCTGCCCAGCAGGCAGCACATGCTGTGTTGGTAGCTGGAATATTCTGTTCCCGAGCTCTGGGGACATGCTGAGAAGCAGCCAAGAAATCGCAGTGTTTCTGCGGCACAATTTACCGGGAACAAATCCAGCTCTGCTTTCCCCAAACGCAATAAAAGCACCTCACCATCTCCCCAAGCCTGCCTCTAAGGTTGGCCGTTCACCCCAGCTGTGTCCCCATGACTTCCAGCTTTCTCCCATCCCTGTGCTTTTCGCCAGCCGCGGTGCAGCCTCTGAGCATGCAGTCTCTGGGGAAATTCCTCTGCTGGCATCAGCAGCTGCGGAGCCGGCTTTGGGCAGGAGCTCCCAACCTCCCTCACCCTGCGTACAACAACTCACTTCTTTCTCCCTGAATGAAGCATGGCTTGCATATTTATTGCTGCTGCCTGGCTGCTTTGACTCCGGCCTGTAGGTTTAAAGATGCTTTCCAGGTCGACAGCCTCTCCTGGGGGAGTGACCTTCACTTTGGGAACAGCTTTAATTCAGTGCTGCTCCTCTCCAACCCCATGCATTTTTCCTCCAACCCTCATAAAACCCAGAGCAGGATGCTAACAAGACAACAGGGTGCCTGGTGTTTTAAACCAAGCTACTGATGCATTGAACGTTTTAGCTAACGTACTTTCAACAAATACCTTTATGATAACAGTTTCTGGACTGACTGAGATTTAAGGTGATATCAATACCTCTGAGCTACTTGTGGCCAAACCAGGAGTGTGTTTGTAAAGTACTAATATTAAAAAAAAAGAAAAACAGCTCTGAGCCCTGCTAGACAACACAGGGTGTGAAACAACTGCTGCTACATCAGCAAGTAACAGTGCTTGACAGGTGCTGGAGAAGGAAGGTCAACATTACTTGCGTTTTGTGGAGTTTTTCTTTAGCTGTAGCTTGATCTCATTTGCCCACAAGCAGCTGCAGTGTGCTGGGCATGCTCTGGATCACATCATTTTGTCTCACATCCCAAAGGTGTGCCAGCCTTGCAGGTTGCTTGGACCCTTTTGGGTCTAAATTGTCATTCCTGGACACCTTCACACCACTTGATTGCTATCAGTAGTGATTGCTCTGTCTGCTGAGGAGGTCAGATGCAAACCTGTGCTTTAAGTATGAACAGCAGAATGTTAGGGATCAGGCACCTGTAATGCTTTCAAAAAGAGAAAGGGGATTTTGCCAAGAAAAAACCAAACTTCCCATCCTGAATCATAAGCTTTGAATTATTTACCTTGTTGTTACTGGTCTGTGAATTCTGCTGGGTGGGGACGCTGTGCAGGACAGCATGCTCAAGGTTATGCAAATTCAGCAGCACTCCTTTCCACTGCTGCTTTTGGGCTGATTCAGTTGTTCCACATATTTGCCATATCTGCTCTGCTTCCCAGTGACTTGCAAATTCAGCACAATTGCTTGAATCGCAGGACTATCTCTGACATCCACAGAAGAAAATCTTTCAAAGGACACTCGGGTCTTATCTGTAAAAGAGAAACCTGACATTGTGGCACATCGGTGCAGAGACCATCCCCAAGTCTCTGTGCCACCAGTGGCGGTGCTGAGATCCAGCTAGGAATTTTCTATTTCAGCAAACCTGATGGTTCCCCATTGAAAACCAATGAACCTGCCCTAAGGATGCTCAGAAACTGTGGAGACAGAGCAGTGCTGGTGGCACGAGGAGAGCAGGAGCCAGCGTGTGGCAAAGGAATGGGGCTGCAGC